AGGCGTCTTTTCCATGGACTGAACTAGTGTCCTCTCTATGGCTAGCAGAGCTAGGCTGCTTAAACGGCCTTGGCCCATGGCGTTGCAGGTGTAAGACTTGAGCCGCTTTAAACAAGAGAACCTCCTCTCTCCACCTGCAGATGTAGCTCCAATCGTTGCCACTAATGACAACAGTTTGTAGACCTGAGGCATTACATTGATCAGTGATTGGCTAATTTCGCTGTCAATCAAAAAGAGATTCAGGTTCAGACAGATCATTCAATCATCATGCAGAAAAGCTGAACGTCCGGGCCAGCCGATAAACGCCCCGTCCATAGACTCCCAGAGACGCTGAGTGTCCGATGGACGGGACAAAACCAGCATTTATCCAATGACTCGTCTCGTTTCAATGCATTGGGACAACCTACTCTGAACTCTCGAGACGCCCAGCGTCCGCGCTACAGACGCTCAGCGTCCACACAGTTGAAAGCACAGTGAAGCTGCGGGAATGAATGAGAAGAGAGTCGCGTCGTAACCAGTAATAAGAAGCTGATTCGGAACAAAAGTTTAGCACGTTGTAGCGCATATTTAGTCGATAACATGTACACACAATTGTATGTACACACATATATTTGATCACTTATTTTTTGACATTTTAGGGGAAGCTGAGCTTCCCTTGCAGTCTTAGAGCAATCGTCTCTGATCTTAGCCACTTTTCCTGTGCATGCCTTGTTGTGTAAAGCAGTTCTAGATGAAAGAGGAGATAATCAAAGTGATAGTTTTAAAGTGATAGGTTCCAAATTGCTACAAAAATTAACAACACAGCAGGACAGATTTGAGCATGCCTCTGTGTCACTGTTTTGTGGGTGGGGGTTGATTAGGGTGATGGCTTTGGCACTGGAACACCCAAATCTTGTCCTCAGTTCGTGGCCAGAAGTATCGATTTTGCCTAATGTGTGTATTACCTTCACCTCCCGGACACCTGTTGGAGATCGGAGAATAATATGAAAAAATGGTAGTTGGGGAAATAGGATATTTTTAAATGTAATTGAACTTAATATTTGGAAGGCGAAAACATAGCGTCTTCCATATGTTCACTAATACCAGGATAAGGCTCATTGTCAGATGTGAAAATGCACCACAAATGCTTCCAACAAGATCTTCGGTGAAATCATCAACTGGACAGAGAGTCTCCTTACTCTCTGATGTGAAATGGGCCCCTCGTTGTCCATCTTGTGGGGCTGCAGGGTTAGGTGTTGTTTCATCTTTTCAAGGTGTTTATGTCGTTCAATGTTGAATATCGGTAGTTGGAAACATCAACAGGTGGCCTCTCTGTCGCAAAAACAGCTGAGAACTCTGTTGTGGAATGTGCCAGGGTTGGAGCGATAACCTGACGGATGCCCAGTGTTCCTTGGATTGTTCGAAAGATCTTTTGCAAGCAGTGCATTTATTCTACATATCTTTTCCTCCTCCACATAGTTGAGCTTCACTTTGGTAAGAGGCAGGATTGTGTCCTATTGCACTTTAGCCGTTGGTATATCAGTACCTCTGGCTACCTGAAATGAAAAGTCAATATTCATTTCCATCGCAGCTTTCAGACATAAAATGCAATTGAAAGTACTTGACATACTGTAAAAGGAGATCATAGAGACGAGACTGGGGAATCTGCAGTTGGCTTTATGGTGGCTCTAACACTCAACAGGCCCTTTGGCATGACTGATGTTTGGGGAAATTGTGTTATGAAACAAAAGGGCTTTTTGATAGGATCTGGAACTTGGGACTGTACTTCATTCACTCCTTCTGAGTCTTTGTTCTTGGAGAAGTCTTCAGCTTCAACCTGTGACATTGTTTTCCGTCTTGTTCAGTTCTTTGAGCTTCAGGTTTAACTTGTGTATTTCTCTGGAGTTGTGTTCACCCTTTTTAATGCTGAAGACCGAGGCCCAGGTGCCTGATCACCTTCACTGGAGGTACTAGATGGTGAGGAAGTCCAGAAAAACATCAGCATCTCTCTGTTGTTGTCTTTTTCCTTCACACTCTTCTGACTTTCCTTTGCCCTTTGCTGGAGAAGTTGTTGATAAGATTTCAGTTCTCCTTCTTCCTTCTGTCTTTTCCTTTCCTTTATTCAATATTCTCGGTATTTCACGGGGTCATTCTTTACTCTTTGTTTCTCCCTTAAAATTCAGATACAATAGGAAATTGAATATAATGAGAATCAGAAAGATGTATGCATGACAGATGCATCTAAGTATTATGACTTACACTATTGAAAAATTAACATCACATCGTCACGACCGAAACAATTATGTCACAACTGAAACATTTCCGTAGGTTTTGGCAGTGACTGTTTCAGTAGTGATGTTTTATGATAGTGGTTCACAGTGCTCAACAATGCTAGCCCCAATATGGCTACCAAACACTATTTTGAGCATGCGTACAGAGATAGATAACACACCATTTCGCATTAAAGTCAAAAGTGCAAATTTAATTGCAGAAATTAAGTGTTCGTTAGTGATGTTCCTGAATAAAACCACGGGCTGATTTTCAGACTGTGGAGTCCATGTAATTAGTAATGCTCAGTAATTACTCACCATGTGACCATGGATGAATGGGAAGGCAATGTCTCTTCTTGGTGAAATTTCTGGGAATGTGGCTCAAACCAAGCCCTTCTTAAAGACAAATACTCTTTGTGTTTCGGTAGCGCCATGAAAAGTTGGGAAGTTTTTTTTTCTTTTCACATAAATTTTTTTCTAAAAATCTACAAAATCAATGTGCATCTTTCACCATACATTTAATGGCAATCAAAAAAGGTCTATTAAAATAGAATATTTAGAAAATTGGCAAAGACCATTTCAATGTTCTTTTCATTATTTGAAATTTAGGAGTCAGAGGTTAGGAGAGCCACCTCCCAGTAGGAAGTGACATAAAATATATTTTTTAAAATATCCAGTTTAATAGTATCTCCATTAATGTTTTGTGATAAAATCATTACAAGATAATAATATGTTTGCCAAATCTGAACACTTAATTGTTTTGTAAATAGTCATTTTCATGGTGTGACAGCAATTTGAATCAATTCGGCAGAATGGCTCAAATAATTTCTGTATAAAGTATTTTGATCCATTTATTTGTTTTCTCCAAAAGCAGTGTGAAAATCTCAAATAGTGCTACTCCTCTCTATCAAAGGATTTTCATCATATCATGCCAGTACTGTAATGCCATGAAACTATGACACCCCCACTCAATCCTTTGTGCAACAAATAAATAAAAACCATATGCTCTGGTGTAAACTGCTGTTCAGCATTCAAAAGATAAAGACGTCAGGACACTTTCCAGGGTGCTGATGCTGCAACATTGTGTGAAATGTGGGAAACAGGAGCTGAAGTCCCAACAGTATCACTCATTTTAATCTGTTCAATAGAAACGATTTGACAGCACTGAAAATATATTGTCCGAGTTGTCCTAGTTTTTTCTTTTTCTCTCTCAGAGGTTTCATGTCTTGCTGGGATAATGAAAAACAAGCATTTACAATAAGGCTATTGTCTGGAAAACATTTTCTTCTACTAATAATAATTCCACTGTTTGTTTTAAATGTGCACAATTCCAGTCCAATTGAAAAGAAAAGGTTTAAACGTGTCAATGTTGTGAATTATTAGCCAGTGCTACAGTTTAGTGTCTCTTCTTATCAGCAACTTTTCACAGGTGACATCTCTCTCTGTAGTTGTCACAAATCTGACCAAACTGCTGTCGAGATATGGAGTGAGAAAATAAATCAATAAAAAACACAACTCGCCACGACTAATGTTGATATTTTTGTCCTAATTCCTGTTCTCTCTTCTTTCAGAATTCTACCAATAATGCCTGATATAGCAGGGTTGCGTTATCTGGAGCGAAAAATATGTTATGGATTTTTTTTTGTGACTCACAGATAACTGCCGATAATGGTTCTTTTAGATTTGACTCCACATTAAAATGAAAATGATTCACATATGTTCCAGGCTACCTGCAATCATGTATTTATTTGATTGGATTAATGCAGTGCTTCTCAATTATTTTCTGTAATTCCCCCCACCCCCTCAGGAAAAAGAAAACATTTCACACCCCCTAACTCTCCATCCTGACAATAAATGTTTCATTTGTCTCAAAAATCTTTGATAAGTCCTGTACACCTCTGCATCACACTGTATGCTTATTAAAATTAAAGAAAACCACAAAAAAAGAAAGAAATATCGATCAGCTCACAACAAAGAACAACTTTATGAACATGTATTGTAGCTTACAGAAAAGGCTTGAAGCGAACTTGGCTGAAATGGAAAATATACACATGAGAGCGCCACTGCCACCTACTGTAGTGGATTTTAAAATTACTCTTAATTCTTATATGGAAAAACAAAAAAAACATGTTGCCCAGGTCCCATTCGCCCAGGAGGCCTGCCCCACGATTTGAGAAGGGGTGGATTGATGTAACAAACATTAACTTCATCTTAGTGGGTTCAACTAACAAAGTACTGTAGCTGTCTAGGAAAAAAAGAAAAATACAAATTTAACATTATTACTATTATTATTATTATTATTTTACATTTTATTGTAATCGAATTTAATCAGGCGGCTCGGTGGGCGACTGGTTACTACGTCGGCCTTACAGTGCAGAGGTGTAGAGTTTGATTCCTGTGTGGAGTTTGCATGTTCTCCCTGGGCCTGCGTGGGGTTTCTCCGAGTACTCTGGTTTCCTCCCACGTTCCATCAACATGCATTCTAGGTGAATGAACACTCAAAATTGTCCCTAGGTGTCAATGTGAGCGCGGATGGTTGTTCATCTGTGCGTGCCCTGCAATTGGCTGGCAACCGGTTCAGGGTGACCCGTGCCAACTGCCCGAAGACAGCTGGGATAGGCTCCAGCACGCCCCATGATCCTTGTGAGGATAACCGGATCAGAAAATGGATGGGCGGATGGATGAATTTCATAAGGCACATGCAGTGTGTTGTGAGTTGGTTTTGCAAGGCCAGTGCATTTGGAGCTTTACCTGTCGGTGATGCCACACATATCAATCTGCAAGTGGCTGTAATTTCCGAGCAGCCTTTCTTGCATGTTGATGAAGTCCGCCGGATGTTTAGACAGAGCCACAAGGCGCATACAACCCTGGAAAGTTGTAACGGGGTTGCTACATTTGTGATGAGCACCCGTCGGAGGACAGCCTGAGGAACACGCAAGACAACACAGTTAAAGGCTTTGCTAACACTCTGTATTGTTGACTAGTGTCTACTCTGATGCTGCTGCGTAATTACCATAAAATTCAACTAAATTGTATTAATTATCTGATATTAAAGTGTTAAATGGCAGCACTCAACTATGAAACATGCTTTTGCTGATTAAATTACTAAAGGGCTGTTCAGTCAGCGGCTCCCTGGTGAACGTGAGAAGGAGAAACTCGCAACAGAAAGACTTACATTTAGAAACCCTTGACCATATTCATGAATGATAATTCAGAGTTGTTATTGTTTTGAAATATGATCTACAGCCCATATGTCAAAGTGCCGGAGAATGTTTTCAGTGGCCCCTGGGATGATATTGATTTATTATTAGAACCGGCCCGCGGACCGCAGCAAGCCGAGAGCTCGCAGATCTTTTACACGCACCAATACTACATTTCCCACAATGCAACGGTGACGCGCCAAGCAGTCGGCCGCTTTATTTAAATATTTATTAGTCTAGCAGTCGTTCCCATAACAGTGACATTAGCTTTCAGATACCCATCAAAAATGGCAAAACGGAAGGTGGACACTGAGAACCGCGGGTTTCAAACAAGGTGAGAGTCGAAGTACATGTTCTTGGACGTAGCTGGAAAACCTGTGTGTCTTCTGTGCGGAGAAAGTGTGGCACGATTGAAATAGTGTAATCTGAGACGACATCATGAAATGAACAACGCGAACAAAAACAAGAACATGGACATGGAGGGGGAAGGGGGATTTCATTAAAAACGGTATACTTAAAGTTTGTGACGAAGTTTACCCCGAAAAAAAGCAACTCTTTTTAAACGTGAGCATTAGCAGAAACACAATTGCAGTGTTTCTGCAAAGATACGGCAGCGCGTGCTGCGCAGTTTGCCCGTTTCCTCCCCGACACAGTGGCCCCGCTGCGCATGCATCCAGGCTGCTCAAACGTTGTCGAAAGTTTGGCAGCACATACGTGTGTGAACAACTATTTTCTTCTTTTTTTTGTTCAATAAACAATATGTGGTCATTTTTAAAATTTTCAATTTACATTCGATCAGTCCGGCCCTCGGCTTGCAGCAAAATTTTTTATCTGGCCCTCCGTCCATTTGACTTTGACACCCCTGATCTACAGTATTTCAGCATGTCTTTGTGAACCCGACATGACTTTAAGACATATTTAGGGGGAAAAAATTAATTTATGGCAAGCATCATTGGATATTTGACATCAGTCGTTTGTGAGTATAAGTCGCATCAGTCAAAAATGCACCACGAAGAAAGAATATCACTCGCTGCCTGGTGCGAGTGATATTCTGGTACCTCCAAAATTGTCACTTTTCAAGAGACCCCAAAACAGCTTTTTTGTTCAATCACAAACATTGTATCATCAAAGAGAGTTTTTTTCAACACTTTAGATTGGTTAACAATGAGATTTGCCGCTGAGAATTGAAGCGGATTCATATAGGAAGGATTATTGAACCAGTCTTTTTTTTTGTCAATGGACGCTACAGCTTCTTGTTTACTTTGAAACTAAGCTTGTAGCTTACGTGTGCACATTTTGAGCACAGTGTCTCTGATCCACAGGTGAAAGGACACTTAGATTTTTTCCTATTCCTATTTCCTAGAACTGCTTCAAACAACAAAGCGTAGGAAAAGTGGCTGGCTGACTGTGTTTTCGTTATGTGTTGTGCTATATTATTTTGTTATTTTAGGCGAACTATTTTCTAAAGTGTTTTGTTACAGCTGCAGCTGTTGTGAAAGTGCAGCGTCGGCCTCACAGTGCAGAGGTGCAAGTTTCGATTCCGGCTCTGGCCTTCCTGTGTGGAGTTTGCATGTTCTCCCTGCGCCTGCATGGTTTTTCTCCGGCTACTCCGATTTCCTCCCACATTCAAAAGACATGCGTGGCAGATTTTTGGAACACTGTAAATTGTCCCTAGGTGTGAGTGTGAGCGCGGATGGTTGTTCATCAATGTGTGCCCTGCGATTGGCTGGCAACCAGTTCAGGGTGTACCCTGCCGACTGCCCGAGAACAGCTGGAATAGGCTCCGGCATGCCCTACATCCCTTGTGAAGATAAGCAGATCAGACAATGAATGGATGGATGGATGGATTGTATTGTATAAAATAACACCCACACATGTGGACTGACCAATAGTACATATAGATTTGTGAAAAACTATGAAATGTATTAAATTGTGACAAAGGAGTGATATGTATATCGGTCCCGCTGGAGTTTAAGTTGCATTTATTTTTTGTTGGGGGTAGGCGGGTGGCTATTTAAAAAACAAACAAGACAGTGAACAGTAGAGCTTGGACTTACACCCAAAACACCTGTTCCCTAATTGTGGGTGTGTTCTCAGAAGAATACATTCCTAGCACACATTGCTTCACTCCGACTGTTCGGAAACTCAGAGCGCTGTTCAAAAATTGTCAAATGAAACCAAGTACATTACACAATATACAATGAATACATACAGCGGTAGGTTGTAGAGACATTTTTTGGTGTAGAACACAGTGCACATTTCTTTGCATGCTTAACAGTGCGAGGCCCCCTGCCTCTCCTCATTGAGCGCTGCCCCGGTCTGTGTGTGTGTGTGCGTGTAGGATTGGAGAGGGAAGAGTGGAGTCGTGACCCAGGTGCAATCCTGGTTGATCCTTGAGTGAGCAATAAACATTCCTCACATCAATCTCCCTTTTTACCCGTGTCTCCTCTAGGGTCCTCTTCCCACATCGCAAACGACAAATAACATGAGTAACATATGTGTTAATGAATCAGTGACAGTAAAGCTACCACACTGTTATTAAAGTTTCATTTACTTTTCAGAAACCATGAGAAACAATTGAAAATCTCTGTCCGGATACGTTATAATGGACTACAAATATTCAGTTTGCTTCATATTCACTGTTTTGTCCTTATTCTTATTCTGCTTGATTTAATTTGAAAGGTACTCGTGTCACTGATACCAAATAAATATAAAAGTATTCCACTGACCACAACAGAGTAAACATTATATGATCTATCCGATATTCTTTCGTGGGGGCTGACGGCAGTCCTCAGACACATTCATTACTATTCAGGCTACAGGCTGCGCATTTATAGTCAGGCCATTGGGTGCAGTTTGACAGCTCCCAGCAGAAAAAGAGGAGAGCGAGAGAAATTATTAATTGTGTATTATGACTTTAAATTGAAGGCGCTCCAACAGAGTGAGGGCATTGGCATCTTTGGGACTGTGATGCATAATTTTATAGTTCATGCAAATGAGACTTTCATATTGGTCTACTCATACTAAGAAAGTATTGCATTTTGTCTTGAAAAGTCCACATGCAATACATTACCAAATCTTTTGTCAGTTAATTTTATGCACTCAAACATGTTTGAGAGAGAGAGAGAGAGAGAGAGAGAGAGAGAGAGAGAGAAAGAAGTGCATCGAGGTCTAGCGGTCAAATGGTGTTAGAAAAGTGAAGAAAATTAAAATAATAAAAATAATAATAAAGACATATGAAGGAAGCTATTTACATAAAGCCATGGCAATTCTAGAATTAGACACATTTGTATATTGATGAAAATGTACAGTGAGAGAAAATAAGTCAACATTTAGAATCGGAATCTTATCAAGCTTAACTATATCTGCTTTCAGGGCTTTACCACTGCCGGTTTTGGTAGTGTTGACATTTTGCAGGGAATGAATAATAAAGATATAAAATACATAATATCGCTTGAATCCTGTTTTCTTACCACCAAAGAATACCTGACCACCAGGATGTGGGATGCCTGCAGTGTGAGCAGTGGCTTCTTCATCTTTGTCAACTGTGACATTCAGGTGATCTTGTCCACAGCTGAGCTCCACTGAATGCCACTGACCATCGTTCAGCCCTGAACCTGTCACCAATAAATGTCATCCTAAAATCAAGTTGCCCGATGTGAAACTTTGTTTACAAACCCTATCTAATCAAAGGCGGTTAAAATGACATTTCTGAGATCCAATCAATGATAGATTGACTTTTTTTTTTTTTCAGAATAAAAACACTTTTATACAAAGTTCAGTCAACATGAGAATGGTCAGGTGAGCCAAGTTTCATCATGTCTGTCAGAATCTATCTAACTGAAAACACCTCAAGGGTTGGTTGGCATGGAGACAGCAAATCCAAAAGTTGCATTAATGTTGGAAAGATGACATCAATCTTAACTCAAACTGCTTCTGGAGATATACATCAACTTGCAAGTTTATCTGTTGCGTGATCAAGATCGTAACTCAATTTATGTATGCTGTACATCAACTACATTTTTGCCATTGAAATGAATTCAAATGCCATGAATATGTTCCAGCTCCATGGCCCACCCCCTGAAAAATGTTGTTCGATGTTTTTAATAAAGGAAAATAGCACTGTATCATACCAAAACAATGGAAAACTTAGAAAACTGCAAAGATGTAAACCGGTGCTAGAAACTGCACATTGAGACAAGTCACAGCAAAAACTTGTACAGTATGTGGAATGCCTTCAGGTGCGTGTCCAAGTGAGTTTTGGCCTCCTGTAGGTGCTCCCAAGTGCTCTCGTTTTGCATTTGTGTATTTGATTGCTCAGTAATTGTATTGTTCGGTAACCAGGCTGTTCTCCGCTTAAACTCTTAAACTCTTATTCCAATATCCCTACCCCTCCCCCACCATACAAACTCACATACCCCATTGTGCAATACGGATTTACAGTGCAATACTTGACGTGCAATACTGTTTTCATGTGCAATACTGTCTTACTGTGTTCTCACTGTGCAATACTGCTCGATGTGCAATACTATTTCGATGCTGAAGCCACTACCTCAAGACCTCAAGTGCTAAGCTACTCTTATCCTATGTCTTTCCTTGCTCTTACTGTCTCTACTATAAGCCGCTCTCGCACAACTCTAATTGCCCCACGGGGATAAATAAAGTTTTCTGAATCTGAATCTGAATCTGCTCCTGTTTTTTTCACTTTTTCACAGAGAGCAAAGAGAAATAACATGAACCAAGTGATAGCTTGTCAGCAACAACAACAACAACAAAACCCCCGCATAAATTAGGGCACTGTTAAGGCAAGGTCTCATATGCTGATATAAACCAAATGAGATTCATTCCACAGTATATGACCAACCTGTATTCAGGTGGAGGAGCACCCCGACAGTGTCATTGATCTGTAGTTGGAGTCTGGCATCACTCAGGTACAGCCAGAGAATTCTGTGCTGCTGCACAAAGTTAAAGGTGAGCAGCAGTCCCTCCACGTTCCATGTACGGAATTGTAAAGCTATCACGACGAACCCCGATGACTCCGTTGTGCGTCCGGGCAACTGGAGGAAGCTCTGGGAGTCTGTGAACGTTACAGCCACTGACACTGGCTCAGCACAAGAAAAAGTCACATTGCCCTGAGAAGAAGAAGAAGGTAGCTAGTGAAAACACAATGTGGAAAAAAAAAAACAAAAATCAAATACGACCTTTTGGTGACACATCTCGTTAGGGGCTCTCCGAGGAACACCTTTTCCTGCCATGCAAACAGGCTCTCTTTTTTTTTTTTTTTTGGTACTTTAGAATACACCCACAAGAAGCAAAACTATCCACTTCATTGCCATTCTGCCATTCTTTTTTTCTACTATTATTTATTTCTGTTACAAAATAGTTAACTTTTCTTTAGACTGCACTTGCATAATAGTTGGGAACAATAATTGTACAATTAATAAAGGCCATCGTACAACCTTTATTAATAGTACAATTATTGTTCCCAACTATTATGCAAGTGCAGTCTAAAGAAAAGTTAATAAAGGTTGTATGATGGCAAAGCAAAAAATGGCTCGAAACCATTACAACATGGAAGTGACAGAAGGGATTATGTTCAATATTGGAGGATCCACTGTATTTTACCAATCAATATATTTTTCCATACCGGTAATACATTTCATGCAACATTCTCTTGAGAATACGTACTGAGTGATAAAAGCCGCAACCAGAAAAATTACATCTCTATCAAAATCAACAAGCCAAAATAGAGCACAAACAAGTCAATAACTGTTTGATGGTGCCACAATTTATCAATTACAGCAATAAAATGTCAAAACATGCTAACTTACCAAGACAGTGACCTGAGAGTTGTTTTGTTTTGCCATGCCTATCAGGTTGAGATCATTGTAATGCAGGTTTTCCACACAGCCGTGGAAATTCTTCTGATTGGGGTTTGACTTAAGTCCGGGGCTTTGGACAGCTCCGACAATCAACTGCACAGAATAATCAGTTACACAGGTAACTTCAAACTGCAAGAGCTACATAAAAGCAGTTGAAATTTTTTTGACTTTGCTTGGAGAATCGAAGATACACACTCTTCCTTGCCAGATTCAACAGGAAAAAAAAATATTCAATCCATTCCTCTTTTACTGCACATCTTTTCAGGGTCATAGGAAGCTGGAGTTAACCCAAGCTGATTTTAGGTGAGAGGTGGGATACTGACAACCATTCACACTCACTGTCACACCGAAAAATAATTCAGGTTTCAATAAATCTAACTCAGGGGTGTCAAACTCATTCTCATCGTGGGCCATATTTTAGTTACAGTTTCCCTTGGAGGGCCTTTATGACTGAAAATTTAGTCAAGAATAACGGTGTACTCCACTTTTGTTTAAGTTACTGTTATGATGGGTTTGGTTACAGGAAAATGCTTCAATATCCTTATGTATTACAGATGAGAATTTGAAATTTTGGTACAGATTTTAGCTAGCATCATGGAAGCTCACGTTTGATTTGCTTTCGCGGGTCACATAAAATGAGGTGGCGGGCTGGATCTGGCCCACGGGCCTTGAGTTTGACGTCTGTGGTCTAACTCATGTGGTTTTTGTTTTTGTTTTTAACGTGGCAGCAAAACAAAGTAGAAGAGGTGACCCAACACATGTCACTGTGCTTCTCATAATCAAAACATTTCAGCTCCTTTTGTGCAAACAGAGTGAGAGGACTGTTTGACTTGACTGAAAAAAATGTATGTTTACTGTGCTGCATAGTTTTTTTCTCACCCAGTGAATGTCCCAGCGGCTGAGTTCAGTGGGTATGACAACTTGCTGTTTATTCTTATCCACAGAGAGGTTGAAGTGGGGGCCGAATCGCTCAAGCTTTACATGGTGCCAATGTTGGTCGTCAAGCAGACTACCAATTGTTGTAAGGATATGACCACCAGAGGAAGAACTCAAACCTGCGGCATGGATGGCAAGGCACAGTGCATGTTAAAGTTGAAGATATTTTCAACAGTGTGCATAGTTTTCAGATGACAATAAGCACACCTCTAAAATACATAAAGCTGAGCGTATGAACTGCTATTAGCCCAGTGTGTAATGTAAAGCAGATGTGGGCAAACTACGGCCCGCGGGCCGGATCCTGCCTGTTGGTCTTTTTAATCCGGCCGGCCAAAGGTTAGTACACAATTAAGGTTCGATGTGAATGATTGCATTCATTTCATTTGGACTTGTAAGACAGGCATTTCAACGCCAGGTGGCGCAGTTACTTGAAGTTGCAGAGCACAGGGAGGGAGGGGGAGACGAAGAGAGAGGGGGAGAGCTCGAGGGAGAAATCTTATCTACCACCTGCAGGCCTCGGTCAAACGGAAATTCCCGAACCCGGTCAAAAAACAACAAAAAAAAACCAACAAAAACAAAACATATGCATTAAACTTTCTACTACTAGATTACATGAACGACCGATCCATAATAACGAAAGTTCCGGAAGCATGCAGTAGCGCCAACTCAAGCAACTCCCTCTCGATACCAGAGAATAAGTGTTGGATCCAAAACGGCGATGTGCAAGTGACTCTTGATTGCAGTGAGTTTTACTGGAATTGCGAAAGTTATTAATTTCATTCATTTACATTTACATCCTGTAGATAATGGCATCCAAACAAAGAGGAACAGTAATGATCGCGGAAGAGAAAGTGAAATGTATTTGATTAAACGAAGTGGGTTACAAAGTGTGAAACATTCAGGAGACGCTTGGAGTCGGAAAGACTCAACTCTACGAGACTTTGAAAAGGAAACAAGGAAGCTCAGTCCTATTCTAGCTCAGAGTGAAGTGCTTGCGGCTCGACGGAAAGTCGAGTAAATGAACGTTTCCTGGAATGGTTTGACTGTTATCGTGTTAAAAACTTCCCGCAAACTGGACCGCTAATAAGAGGAGACGAGTTCCATAACGCTAACTATGAGCATCGAAGACTTCGAAGCGTCCCGTGGCTGGCTTCAGAAGTTCGTTGCACGACATCAACTGAGCAATGCTGTCATGTGTGATGATCGAGGGAGGCAAATTTAGAGACAGTGAGTGAGTGGAAAGAAAAACCACCAGGTCTCATATTCGTTTCATTTTGTAGCAAATAGTCCTCATTTTTTTATATCTTGTATTTTTTGTTGTAACTTTGTTGCTTGTATTATCACACATGTATGTTGTTAACATACTTGGATGTTGATACAGGACATACCTGTATACCATAGTTGTTTCACTGTTCTCATTAAAAAAAAAAGTATGTTAATACTTTACTGCTTTTGTTCTGTTGAAGTTTGGTTTGAGCTGTCAACATATGCAGTTCTTTATATGTACTGTAACTTGTGCTGACCCGGCCCACCGGTCAAATTTTAGAAATCAATGTGGCCCCCAAGCCAAAACGTTTGCCCACCCCTGATGTAAAGCCTCAAGGTACATCATAAGATAATGAGCACATAAGCCATTTTTCTTCGGCTTTTTGGTGATATTTAGTCCAAAGAACTCGACTCAACTCAACTCAACTGTATTTATAGAGCACTTTAAAACAATAACTGTTGTGTCCGAAGTTCGGTGCATGTAGTAAAAATAATACGACAACAAGCAATACAACAATAAATTATTAAAGACAGTATAAAGCACAAAAACAGTCAAACTAAAAATCAAGTCTCATGCTGAATCAAACGCCAAAGAATAAAAATGAGTTTTAAGACGGGCAGTTTAAAGATGGGTAGTGAGAGAGCTTGCCAAAAGTTCAGTGGGAGGTCAGTCAAAAGAGAGGGACCAGCAACGGAAAAGGTTCGATACCCTCTGAGCTGCCACTTAGTTCTTGGTACCTCTTACAGTGTCGTGTCCACAGACCTGAGGGACTGGGCAGGTGCGTGGGACCTCAGAGAGGTAAGTTGGGGCAAGGCCATTTAGAGATTTGAAAACAAATGATACGATCTTAAAAATAACTCAAATGTATAGGGAGCCAGTGAAGGGATGCCAGAGTAGGAGTGATGTGCTCCCTCTTACAAGTACCAGTCAAGAGGCAAGCAGCAGCATTCTTGACCAGCTGGAGATGCTTAATGGAGGACTGGCTGACTCCAAAGTAAAGTGCATTACAGTAATCGAGCCGGGATGTGACGAAGGAATGAATTAGTGTCTCAAGGTGCTCATGAGCTAGGAGAGGCTTTATGTTAGCCAGCTGCGTAAGATGAAAGAAGCTGCATTTAACAATGGCACCAATTTGCCGGTCCAATTTAAAATCATTGTCGAGTACAAGACCCAAGTTCCAGACTATTGCCTTAACCTAAGGAGCCACGGGGCCCAAGTCCACAGGATTTGATGTTCAAGGGCCATAATATAAAAAGCAAATCAAACAATACCTGCAATCCATAGACATTTATTTTCTCGGCTTATCGCCACTGTTTGTCCTGATAGTCAGGGTCACACCATTGAAAACATCATGAACATTTAACCGTGTCTCTTCTGGTTTCATAGTTTAGATCAGTGATTCCCAACCAGCGTGCCATGAGAGATCCTCACGTGTGCTGAGGCAAATTCAGTGTCAGTTATTTGGACCCAAAAATTATTTATGCACTACAGAAAAAAATATTTTTGTTCATTTATCCACGCTAGCGCCATATAGTCATAGGCGGAACAATTTTCCACTAGATGACTGAAGGTACATAATTAACCTGTGTCTCAACCTTTTGTGAAATTTTCGTAAAGCGGTGTGTCGTGAGATTTGTTCCAATATGAAATGTATGTCTTGGCTCAGCAAAGGTTTGTAAGCATGGGTTTAGATAGCTATTGTGGATAAAAGATACTGTTTTACACAATTTGCAATAAAACGAAACAAAAAGTTTATTTGCCTCTGAAATTTGATGAGCAACACTTATCAGCAATTTTCTGTAAAGTACAGGGGCAAGACACACTCGCCGAATTGCTGTATATTTGTTGATGCGTATTACAGCACCTCATGACAGCCAAGAATTGATCTGAATTGGCAAGCAGTAAACTACATTACAGCCGACTGACATTTTGATGAATGCAAAGCAAGAAAGAAATGAAAGTTTCTGAAGAGAGGACATAAATCTTAATGAGCAAATCACTTCATGCTAACTTCTTGGCATATTGAGATGTGTTATTGCATGAGAGTGGTGCTTTGTCTCTTTTTTCCAGTTACTCATTCCTGTCTTCCTATGCGTGCATGCAATAATCATTGGCTGGCGCACAAACAAATGCAATGTCCCTCAGTTGTTAATGGACTTTTGCTAAGATGTCGGAGTTTGATTTCTATTCTCAATTTTTTTTCAGCAGCGATCAAGTTTTCCTTACAATGTGACGTGCACTATTATTTAAAAATGCCTTCAGACCAGACAGAACAAGAGGAGCGTTTTAGAAGTTCTAATATGCTGTTTTTTCCCCCCTCTCCTTTCACTGTTGAGCCGACAACCGACAGTTTCTCTGGATGGGTGCACCGATCCATTGAGCTAAATTATGCCGTCTGCCGAGTGTAAAGCCGTGGGAGAGTGGAGAGACATATGTCTTATGTAATAGAGGGGGCTGTACGCAAAGATCATCGACTCTCTACTCACAGCTTTGGTCATATTGCCAGTGCTGGAAAGTTTTTGGGCAAACAACATTAATGTTAATGTCTGAAATTTTGTCCAAAGTTTGAAGTTTACTGCAACTCTGAGTTGAAATTAATATCTAATTTTCTATTCTGCGTGTCCTCAAAAGGATTTGCGATATTGCTCGTCTTCATTAAGTTTGCAGGGAGTCTGGGCAGGGGACGGCAGAGGCCAGAGCTAATGGGGAGATGCCCCCCACTCCTTCCCCAGACCACAGAGGGGAAATGTGTATATAACTAGAGGTGGGCATTCTGTCAGGACCAACGGAAGGTCCATCAGAACATCACTGACAGATGCCCATTTTGCTGAGGAATGGTGAATGACAGAGACTAAAAAAAAAAAAAATGACGGACTAAGCACTGACAGAAGTGGATTTTCGTCCGTCAATGTAATCGCCACTAACTATGTCAAGTAACGACCTCACTGAAGGATGCCCATTTCACTAACGCCTAACGGAAACATGACAGCCTGCCTCACATGTGTTTGTTTGCAGGGAATACATAAAGATAAGATAAGATCAGATAAGAAACCTTTATTAGTCTCGCAATGGAGAAATTCCAAATTCACAGCAGCAAAGTTATGAAAGGAAGAAGCAGAAGAACAAAATATAGGAGCTGCTGGAAAGGCAGCCACCTGAGTGTGTGTGCATGTTAGAGTCTTTGAGAATGAGTGTTCCTGTTTCAATCGGATATCGGTGGCAACTGTGATGGCCGGAACCAAATAATGTCACTTCACTTTTACAACACAATTCTCCAGTCTTTGTTTGAGTATAATATTTTATGTCTGCTTATTTATTAGCATGTTAACCTTTATGGTTGTGGTTTTCTGTTAAACCGTGGTGAAATTATTTATTGCAAGAATATTTAGTAAACAATTCTGGTTAGGTTCGCACAATTACTCCTGGTTTTGACGAGAGCGAGCGAGCGACAGAGAGAGAGAGAGAGAGAGAGAGAGAGAGAGCACATACATCAGTAAAGGGCTGTCCACACCACCCGTCAGATATCAGCCGCCAAATATGGAGGAATGCAAATGCTGACTGGGCATCGAGTGGCTATCAAGGGAGCATCTGCTGTGTTCAAATTCACAGCCTGGATCCTTCATAGGCCGCATTTTTGGCCACATGATATCACTTCTGGCATGACTCGATCGCATGTGATGTCCAAATTTACATTAAGCCAAATCACAGTATTGGCCCGAATATAAGACGGTGTTTTTTGCATTGAAATAAGACTGAAAAAGTGGGGGTCGTCTTATATTCGGGGTCCAGACATTGTACCCATTCACGACGCTAGATGGCGCCAGATACCATTGAAGCAAATGCTGAACTTGA